ATTGGTGCATAGCTGGCTTTCAACTGTTTCCAGTGTTGTTTGGGGATTGGTGCATAGCTGGCTTTCAACTGTTTCCAGTGTTGTTTGGGGATTGGATGGAAGAGCCACCCTCAGCGGGAAGCTGGCAGGAACTGTGGGTGACTGACATTTGCAGTTCCAATACAGTAATGACCTGAGGACATAGGATTCTTCTGTGTGTTACTCCTACCAACTCAGGTGCTTCTCAAATGAGATTTTATTAAACTCAGGGAGGAGGACAAGTGGCACCTTCCATCTTGCTAGTGAAGAGGTGAAGGAAGAGAAAGGGGGAGCCCCAGGCCTGAGGTTCTGCAGCCTGGAATTCCGAAGCAGCATTGGTAAGGGGTCAGGCTTCAGGTGTTGATGGAGCCATCTGTGTTCTTGATTTACTCCTGCAACCAAGAGTGGGGATCATGATGGTGGTGGCTGGTGAAGGTTGTTGTTGGCAGTGGCTGAGTTCAGGGACTTTCAGGCTGAGGCAGACCCAGGCCCATCTTCATGGAGTACAGGCCCCCTTGCTGGCCTTACAGCCAAATGAAGGTCCTCTCCAGTGTCATACATGCCTCTCTTTTAGGGGGAACAAAGCACCCCGACTGTAGGGCCTTCTCTTCCCTGGTCAGGTAAGCTTCCCTTCCATGTTGCTTAATAATGCTACCTGTCTTTTTTTTTTTTTTTTTAAGAGACAGAGTCTCACTTTGTCGTCCTCCATAGAGTGCCATGGCGTCACAGCTCATAGCAACCTCCAGCTCCTGGGCTTAGGTGATTCTAGTGCCTCAGCCTCCCGAGTAGCTGGGACGACAGGCACCCGCCACAACGCCCGGTTATTTTTTGTTTGCAGTTTGGCTGGGGCTGGGTTTGAACTCACCACCCTCAGTATATGGGGCCGGTGCCCTACTCACTGAACCACAGGCGCTGCCCCTACCTGTCACTTTAAACTGGGTAACACTCAAAGGAGGATAACTAGAGTTGGGAGTAAAACCTGGGTTTCTAGATTCCCTGCATATTATTTCTTTTTCTTCTTTTTTTTGAGACAGAGTCTCACTTTATCACCCTCGGTAGAGTGCCTTGGGGTCACAGTTTACAGCAACCTCCAGCTCTTGGGCATAGGTGATTCTCTTGCCTCAGCCTCCCGAGTAGCTGGGACTACAGGCGCCCGCCACAACACCCGGCTATTTTTTTGTTGCAGTTTGGTCGGGGCCAGTGTCCTACTCACTGAGCCACAGGTGCCGCCCCCCTGCATATTACTTCTTCCATTGATTTCCAAGGATGCTCGGCCTTGTCCTCCAGACCATTTTAGCAGTCCAGGGGACCTGGGAAATGAACTACTCCCCAGCCCCGCCTCAGGGGCATCTCAACATCACTTAGCTAGTCTACCCTTCCTAGCCTTGCCCCCCATCTCCCAGACTACCAGTCCCCAAGGACTCAGGTGTAGGGCTGGGACTGGGAGACACACACAAGGGGCCCTGCTCAGGATTTAAGGAGGAACTCACTGCTGAGGGCTCCTGGATGTGTGGCATCTCCATGGAATCCTGTACACTAAGTGTCTCACAGGCCTCACCTTATCCTCTGTGCAGAGCCTGTGTCTCCATGAAGGGATGGGAGGAGAAAAGAGATTAAAAGGAGGGTAGAAAAAAAGAGTGCTAAGAGGACAAGAAGATACATCCACAGTCAATGGCAAAGTGAGGAACAGGAACCAAAGATGGCTTCAGAACAAGCATCCCCACACAAGCTCTCTCTCTCACACACCCTGAACCTGCCAGACAAACATCATCAAGAGAGCAATAAAGAACAAGAAAAGTAATTTGTTATTTATAATAATTAATTATAAGCTTATAATTAATCAGTAAAAAAGCCATGGTGGTGGCTCATGCCTGAAATCCCAAGAGACTGAGGCAGGAGGATCAAATGAGGTCAGGAGTTTGAGACCAGCCTCAGAAAGAGCAAGACATCATCTGTACTAAAAATAGAAAAAAATTAGCCAGCAGTGGTACTCACCTGTAGTTCCAGCTACTTGGGAGGCTGAGGCAGGAGGATTACCTGAGCTCAGGAGTTTGAGGTTGTTGTGAGCTAGGCTGAGGCCATGGCATTCTAGCCAACTCTGCCTTCCTCCCCCCACACCCCCAAATTACAATCTTCACATTCTCATTAGTTCTTCCCAAGTTTCTTGACGAATGGATGGGGAAGAAATACCCCAAGTCCCCTTTGCTATTTCTCCCTTAGACAGGACAGTCTCAGCTCGATGTCATAAACCTCACTCTAGACAGAGTGATTCAGATGCCTAAATGGCCAGAGCTGGAGGGGTCCTCAGAGGCACTGTCTGCTGTGGTTGCCACACATGGCTTTTGGGCACTTGAAATGTGGCTGATGGATGCCACAAGTAAAAAAGGCACATTGGATTTTTGAGGACATAGTTTGAAACAAGAGTATAAAATATCTCATTAATATTTTCAAAAATATTGATTACATGTTGAAATGATATTTGGAAACTATTGAGTTATATAAAATATATGGTATTATTCATTTTTTTGTTGTTGTTTTTTAGACAGAGTCTCACTTTGTTTCTCTGGGTAGAGTGCTGTGGCATCACAGCTCACAGTAACCCCAAACTCTTGGGCTCAAGTAACCCTCTTGCCTCAGCCTATCAAGTAGCTGGAACTACAGGCGACCTCCATAATGCCTGGCTATTTTTGGAAACAGGGTCTCACTCTTGCTTAGGCTGGTCTCATACTGGAGAGCTCAAGAAATTCACCTGCCTTGGCCTCCCAGAGTGCTGGGATTCCAGGCATGAGCCACCACGCATGGCCTAGTATTATTAAAATTAATCCACCTGGGCTTGGCGCTCCTCGGACAGTGGTTACGGTGCAAGTCATATACACCAAGGGTGAAAGGTTCAAACCCTGCCCAGGCCAGCTAAATAACTGCAACAAAAAAATAGCTGGGCATTGTGGCAGGCGCCTGTAGTCCCAGCTGTTTGGGAGGCTGAGGCAAGAGAATCACTTAAGCCCAAGAGTTAGAGGTTGCTGTGAGCTGTGAAGCCACAGTACTTTACTGAGGGTGACATGGTGAGACTCTGTTTCAAAAAAAAATTAATTCACCTGTTTTGTGTTTTTTAATGTGACTGCTAGAAAATTTAACATTATAAATGTGGCTTACTTTTGTGGCTTGAATTACAATTCTATTGTCCAATAGTGACCTACTTCAACTTCCCCTAACAGAGGGGAAAACTGAGTCCCAGAGAGAAGCCCTGACTTAGGATCCCGCACTTTAAAGCACTGTCATTTCCATTTCCACCAATCTCTTGATGCACCTTCTGCCACACATACCTTCTGGGAGCCCTGGAGGTGAAGCAGGTAAATTCTTCGAAGACCTTTGAATTCCGGGTGCCCAAGTGAAGTGTGCCAAGTCTCAAGGCATTGCCTATGATTTTGTGAAGAGTAGAATAAAAACCTAACAAAAGTTTTGGAAGAAGGGACATGGTCTCCAATAAGTCACATTCAGCTAGAAAATCGGGGTGTGAAGTGAGGAGAAAGCTGGGGAGCCCTAAGCTGTTCCCCATCAACGTATATGCAGAATAACAGATTAGTATACCAGGTGTACTGATCACTGCCTTAAAAGCACAGGCAGCGGGGTAGGACCTAGCCCCAGAGGAGACACAGAAGGGTCAGCCACTCCCGGATTGTTTGACAGGTAAACAAAGACAAGTTTCAGTCTGATTGGCTTGATCCAAGTGGAATGGGCAGTGGAGGGAGGGAGAACTAGGCACCGAAGGCAAATTCCTTTATTTCATAATTTTATCTGGCCTCCGCATTCCCATCAGCCTGCATTGTCATAGCTTCAGGACAGGCAGTCAGGAAAGGAGGCAGATAAGGATCTCTCAGCTCCAGGGCAGCACTAATGGTGCTTACCCGACCTGCAGTCTGACATGCCCAGCTGGGGAGTCCCGGCAGAGTGGCCACCTTCTTTTTCTTAAGCCTGACTACATGTCCTCCACCAGCAGGGTGACGAGATGGAGAAACAGGCTACGCTAAGGGTAAAAGTGGAGAAAGGCTGGCTTGTCCCACTGGAATTAACCTCGGAGCTGATACAACCTCGCTGGCTAACCTTGCCCATGGCGGGGAAGGCCGGCGTGGCTCCCTCAGGGAGGTGACAGCCTGCAGGATGGATAAGGAGCCGGTCTCCTCCCGCCTTGCCCTCAGCGGTTGTCCTGGGACCAGCCGGCGCGCGTCCCGGCTGAGGTGGGTTACCGCCCTGTCAGGGGTGACTGTGCCTCTGACGTCAGGAGTCTTCTGGTTCATTCCCTGGCACAGGGACTTCATTTTCATAACAGAGTGAAGTGCACTGGACCTGGAATGGGCGTGTCCTCTCCCCCTGACCCGGCCCCCGCCCCTTGTCCCTGTGCTCACCCCCCCCCCAGGACCGCCCCCTCCCTCTGGCGACAGCCGCCTTTATAACCGCGCGGCGGCGGAGGGCGGGATAGCAGCCCGAGGGTTCTCCGGGCACAGAGGGGCTCGCGAGCTGCCTCTCTCTTCGCGCGCGGGACACAGCGCCAAGTTCACGACCAAAGCCCAGGCACAGCAGACAATGGGGTAAGCGAGGCGCATGTTGCCCAGAACGCTGCAGGCCTCCAGATTTAAACGTCAGGGGAGATTGGGGCAGGGGAGGGGTGAGGCAGAAGGGTAATGGAATACAGCTGGCTGGCTAGGCGAGGGAAACTACCCAAGGAAACGATTCCTCTACTTCAACTCAATTTACAAGTGTTCTTTCTTTCTTTCTTTTCTTTTCTCTCTTTCAACGATTCCTCTACTTTAACTCAATCTAGAAGTTTTTCTTCTTTCTTTTTTATTCTCTCCTCTCTCTCTCCTCTCTCTAGTTTAACTCAATTTAGAATCAATCTCTCTCTCTCTCCTTCCCAGGAGAAGATAGTGGCAAAGAGCAAGAAGATAATCAGGGCAATAGTTTCTGTTCAAACACATTCTACAGACTTTGAGTAGGTAGAATCCAACCAGGCAAGAGATGAGCACTTCTGGGATCATTCTGGAGGAAGAGAAGAGAGGAGGAAAGATCTTCGAGGAGGGACATGGTGACAGCTGCTACTTTATCCAGATGCTGAAAACTGCCGTTCTGAATTCGGGAGAATAGGTGTAGAAGTGCCCATTTTCTCTTGATCTCTGGGGCGGTCAGTCCCATTCTAGTGTCCCTCAAGTTGCTCAGGAATGGGGCAGATGGAAGTTGAGTGTACACTAGGAGCCCACCTTCCACCACCAACTAGCTAGGACTGGGGAGCGGCCAGCCTGCCGCTCAAATTGGTTCCTTATAGGTCCATGGGAAAGGCTAGCTAAGAGCCTGCTCAGGATGCAGGAATTTGAAGGAATCTGAAGAAGTCATTCCTGACTTCTTTGTGGGCTGGTTTTCTCTTCAGAGGCTTTTGTAAACACCACACCTGCTGAGGGGTTCAGCTGCTTCAGCTACTGCAGTGGACTCATTCCTGAAGGGGAATGCTTTTGCCACTTCAGACACAATGGCTGGGGACTCAGGAGGGGTGAGGCTGGAGATCAACACTCCTGTCTCCAGGTCTGTGTGCTGGGCACTCGAGGAGAGTGAAGGAATGAGGGGGAGGAAGGGTAGGGAGAACTGCTCCCTGGGAGTTGGGGACGTCTTCCTGAAGTGGGGATCTTGAACACCAACCTTTCTTTTGTGTTCCCCTTCCTGTTTCCTATTTTTGACCAGATCTTTTGTCCTAAAAACTTGTCTCCAACTCTACCCTCTTTCCCATCTCCTCCAAAAGAAAACCTATCCACCTACACCTGTATGCATTTAATTCTTGGAGTGTCTTCACAATTCTTAAATCACTTATGTAAAAATCCTAAAGACGCTAGGAACCCTCCACCCCTTGTACCCAACCTCCTAAGTCAACATCATGGTTTTCTTTTTTTTTGAGACAGTCTCAGGCATTCACCCTGAGTAGAGTGCTGTGGCATCACAGCTCACAGCAACCTCAAATTCTTGGGCATAGGTGATTCTCCTGCCTCAGCCTCCCAAGTAGCTGGAACCATAGGTGCCCACCACAATGCCCAGCTATATTTTTGTTGCAGCTGTCATTGTTGTTTTAGCTGGCCCAGGCTGGATTCGAACCTGCCAGCCTCAGTGTATGTGGCCAGTGCCCTATCCACTGAGCCATGGGTGCCACCCCATTTTTTTTTTTTTAGACAGACTCTCACTCTGTTGCCCAAGCTAGAGTACTGTGGTGTCATAGCTCCCAGCACTTCAAACTCCTGGGCTCAAGCAATCCTCTTGCCTCAGCTTCCTGAGTAGCTGGGACTATAGGCATCCATCAACATGCCTGGCTAGGTTTTTTTTTTTGTTTGTTTGTTTTTTTATTGAGATGGCATCTCACTTTGTTACCCTGGGTAGAATGCTGTGGTATCAATACGTCACAGCAACCTCAAACTCTAGGGCTCAAATGATCTTCTTGCCTCAGCCTCCCAAGTAGCTGGGACTACAGGTGCCCACAACACCTGGCTATTTTTTAGAGATAGGGTCTCCCTCTTGCTGAGGCTGGTCTGAACTCCTCAGCTTAAGTGATCTACCTGCCTCGGACTCCCAGAGTGCTGGGATTGCAGGCATGAGCCAGCGGACCCAGCCAATACCATTTCTTGATGGTGATTCATGTCAAGCACTTGAAACACTGCTGTATTTTAGATAGATGAACCTACTTAATCTGTAATCCTAAAGTAGAAGAAATTGGGAGACTTCATATAGAAAGTAAGGGCAGGAGACCAAGAAATGGATTATAAATGTATATGGAAATCACTCAGGAACTTTTATTTATTTATTTATTTAGAGACAGAGTCTTACTATGTCCCCCTCCGTAGAGTGCTGGGGCATCACAGCTCACAGCAACCTCAGACTCTTGGGCTTAAATGATTCTCTTGTCTTAGCCTACCATGTACCTGGGACTACAGGTGCCCACCACAATGCCCGGCTATTTTTTTGTTGTAGTTGTCATCATTGATTGGCAGGCCCTGGCTGGATTCAAACCTGCCAGCTCCATTGTATGTGGCTGGCACCCTAGCAGCTTGAGTGACAGGCGCTGAGCCCTTTATTTATTTATTTATTTATTTATTTTTGATACAGAGCCTCAAGCTGTCACCCTGGGTAGAGTACCATGGTATCACAGCTCACAGCAACCTCCAACTCTTGGGCTCAAGTGATTCTCCTGCCTCTGCCTCCCAAGTATCTGGGACTACAGGTACCTGCCACAATGCCCAGTTATTTTTTGGTTGCAGCCATCATTGCTTGGCAGGCCTGGGCTGGATTTGAACCTGCCTGCTCAGGTGTATGTGGCTGGCACCTTAGCTGCTTGAGCCGCAGGCTCAGAGCCTTCATTTTTTTTTTTTAATTAAAACAAATTTTTTTGGAAACAGTCTCACTTTGTCACCCTCTGTAGAGTGCTGTAATGTCATAGCTCACAGCAACCTCAAACTCTTGGGCTCAAATGATCCTCTTGCTTGCATCTCCTGAGTAGCTGGAACTACATGTGCTTGCCATAACACCCAGCTATTCTTTAGAGATGAGGTCTCTCTTTCCTCAGGCTGGCCTTGAACTTGTGAGCTCAGAAGATCCACCCTCCTCAGCCTCCTAGAGTACTGGGATTATAGGTGTGAGCCACCACACCTGGCCTACTCAAGAACTTTTATATAGGAGCAAGAAACTCATGTCAAAGTGGCCACAAGATTGTTTTCTAGAAGACGGATGAATATAATTCATGTTTACTGCTAGAAACCAAAGTTTTGTGTGAAATCCTGAATTTATGGGGAGGGAGGGTAGGAAATCCTGTACTTGTCTGTTCTTTTCCTGATCTCTTCCCTCTCATTCCTGAACTGCAGGAGCCTGAGCCCCTGCAGGCTTTGAGGCCATCCTGGGGTGTGTTTATTTGGTGGTTGATTTTGCTGTAGTGGGTACTTCCTTTCCCATTTTCTAATTATTTTGTAGTGCACATGTGGCTCTTTTCCCTCTTTTCTACTTTCCCTGGGAAAATACAATGAATAAATAAAAGACTTATTGGTACTGGGGTGGGGTCGGGGGAGGCTCCTCTAAGCCTAGAATGGAATGAGAACAGTCTGGTTTCTTGGGAAGAGCTCTCAACCTTGAGTCAGGAAGCCTGATTTCTCCTCTTGGCTCTGCAGAAATGTGTAACTATGATCATGCAAAGGCAAGGAACTTGAGAGCCTTATAAGGTGTCTTTAAGAGGCCCCCAATTTTCTTTCTTGTATTTAGATTCTAGTCTCTCTTTATCTGCACATGTCCCCTTGGGAGTCCTCTTTGGAACCTGTTTTATTGTGTTTCACTTGTTAGTGGTAATTGAAGACAACAGGGTATGGAGAACCATCGGCTATGTGATTCTATTCTTCTCATTCTGGGTCCACTGCTATTTAAAATCCACAGATTAAGCTGGGGAAGTGATATGGTGGTATAGTGAATAATAAATTGAATAGTGTTTTTGCTTGAGGAGTTTTTGACTTTCTGTGAGGGTATTTATTTGTTTCTACTTTTATTCCTATTTCTATTACATTGTGGTCAGAATATATGGTCTGTAAATTTTTTATTTTAGAATTCCACATTTTTCTTTATATTCTAAATATGCTCATTTTAAAAAATGTTCCACAACCACTTAAATAGAAGCAATCATATAAAGCAAACTAGGTAAGGATGGCAAACTTTGGTCCATAGGCTAAATATGCTCTAGGACCTTTTTTTGTAAATAAAGGAACCAAACCTCCTGTTGGTTTTCAATAAAACCAACCTGTTTTATTGAAACATTGCCACGCTCATTTGTTTGTGTATTGTCTATGGCTGCTTTCATGCTACAAATGTATGCCTAAACTACTTTGTATCTGGTCTTTCTCAGAAAATGTGTGCTGCTCACTGATATGGAAGATCTAAATTATATAATTAACAATGGAGATCTAAAAAGATATGAAGATAGAGAATATTTCCATTAAAATATCCATAGACCATTATAAAATTTCACTATGTTCTTCTTCATTTTATGTATTTTATCTACCAAGGACTGACAAAGAAATATTCAAGTCTTATATAACTATAGTTCTTGCTTTAGTTTTTCCTTGTATTTCTAGTAGTTTTTGTTTTATGTATTTTGGTGCTGTGTTATTAGGTGCATTAAAGTTTATGATGCTTTTATCTTCCATGTGGATCATCTCTAATTATTGTGAAACAAAAAAATTTTTTTTTTGAGACAGAATCTCATTTTTTTTTTTGCAGTTTTTTCTTTTTTGGCTGGGGCTGGGTTCGAACCTGCCACCTCCGGTATATGAGGCCACCACCCTACTCTTTTGAGCCACAAGCACCATCTGACAGAGTCTCACTTTGTCACCCTTAGTAGAGTGCCATAGTGTCTCAGCTCACAGCAACCTCAAACTCTTGGGCTTAAGTAACCCTCTTACCTCAGCCTCCCAAGTAGCTGGGACTACAGGCACCCAACACAATGTCTGGCTATGTTTAGAGATGGGGTCTCACTCTGACTCAGGCTGGTCTTGACCTCCAGGGCCCAAGCAATCCACCCGCT